ATAGATAGATAGATAGATAGATAGATAGATAGATAGATAGATAGATACACATACACATACATACACTTAATGTAGTGAAAATAGAAATTCATGATGAAAATATGTGATATAAATTTTTAATAAGAATAAGGAAAAGAATTGTAATGCAATAAGAAAGTATGTATAGAAATAAGAGAAGGAAATGTAAACGATGTCTTCATGTTGACACAATTGTGTATATAATTTTATTTTATGTTTTTAAAACCTTTGAAAATTGAATAAAGTTATTTTTTAAAAAAAAATCCTGAGACAGACTTTGCCCCTGTTTTAGATCACCCAAGAACCAGGCCCAATGGCTACGAGGACATGGAGTCCGTCAAGGAAGGTGGAGAAGAAAACCAAGCTGGCTGAGCCATTGGGACTGTGGTGTGGCCTACGGAAGAGGTTTGGGCAGCTGTGAGAACTGCAGGGCAGCTGTTGGAAGGGCAGCATAGAGCCAGTCACGGGCCTGGCAGGGCCAGGAGGGGAGGTGACGCTCCCAGGCAGCAGCACCTGAGTAGGAGTGTTGGGTGCCTTCGCTGGACAGCTCCGAAGTGCCCCCGATGGCACAGATGCCTTCCTTCCGATTGATGGCTTTGCGGAAGGTCTTGGCCACGTCGCTGCTCTTCACCTCTTGGAAGATCTGCCAGAGTAAATGTGTCACCATTATTTCAGGCATTTGTGGAAGCATCTGAAGATGGATGGGCTAAGGCCCAAGAAGGTTTTGGGTCTGGCTTCAAAGTCTACCTAGCCAGGATCTAGTAGAATCCTGGGATACAACCTAGAATAAGGTCTGGGAGAGAAGAGAGGAGGACCTGGGCAGCAAGAGAGTCCCACACCCATCCTGAGGACTCTCTGAGAAACTAGGGCTGCCGTGAGAGCAGTCTTCCAACCTGTGAGGGGCTGCCGCAAAGACTGTTCTCTAAAGGGCTGAACAAGAAGTAATGCATGGACACGAATCAAGGAGGCCACCAACCCAGAAGTGAGGAAAACACGCCTGACAGTTAGAACAATTAATCAGTGCAATGATTTGCCTCTAGAAGTTGTGGGGGCTCCATCACTAGAGATGTTATAGAAAAGTTTGGAGAGCTATTTGTCTGGGATGCAAGGAGGTCACCTGCCTTGGGGAGGGGGGGTTGGACTAGAAGACCTCCAAGGTCCCTTCCAACTCTTTTATTCTGTTATTCTTTGGGGTTTCAGCAGCAGAGAAACCGGAGCCCAGAGGTGGAAACTTTTAGAAGGTCCTGCATTAACCCACCGTAATTTAATTCTGGGGAACCTCTAATTTGCCGCCTCTGTTTTCTCTGCTCTGCGGCTTTCAACATTGTTTTGGTGCTTTGCAGGTTTTAGCTCTGCCCAGGAAACGGCTGCGATGGGTGGTAGAATAACAGGGTGAATAAATGCATGGAGGGAGGGCTGGAGGAAGGAAAGTTGGGTGGTCTCACAGGGAAAGCCGCTGGTTTGGGGAGGGGGGAATCAGAGCACCAACACCAGGAGAGTTCCAGCCTTACGTAAACAAACTCTTCAAAGCTGATCTTTCCATCTTTGTTCTTGTCTCCATCAATCATGAGCTTCTGAATGATCTCTCGGACTTTGTATCCCGGGAGGGGGAGGTTGGCTTCCTTGAAGAGTTCGTGCAGCTCATAATCACAGATGAAACCGTTGCTGTTGAGGTCTTCCAGGTGGGCGGCAAAGAGAGAGAGGGGGAGAATCAGAGCAGGAACAAGGCAAGAGGCTCAAGCCCCCCCTACTCCGACGCCCTACTGTGGGGGTCTCCAACCTGTGGACTATTTTGAGACATGTTTTATGTGTGTGTGGTGGGGCTATATTATCCTTCTCTAGCTGTCAAAACAAGAGCCACATCCCAGCTGTTCATCCAGAGCAGAGGTCTCCAAACTTGGCCACTTTAAGACTCGTGGACTTCAACTCCCAGAATTCTCCAGC